ACCCCCACCCCTGGATTATTTTCCTTTTAATATATTTCAAACATAATAACAATTTCCATTACATGGTATTTGTAAAGCCAGTATGTGGGAAAAGTAAAACTTCAAAATTTGTTTACAGTATAAATGAATTACCCCAAAGAGAAGATGAGAAGCCATATCACATAGTTTAAAAAATAGTGGAGTAGAATAGGATGGGATTTTGATCCCATTTTTAGCAATACTTAATCTGTGCCACTCTGGCAAGCAATATGTCTATATATTTTTTAAAATATTGAAATAAAAAACATGAACAAAAAAGATGGATGTAAAAGGGTATAACAAAAAAGATCGATATAGAAATTAAATGTTTTATCATTTTTTAATGCTAAACCTAAGAAAAGATCTCTTGGAGAATAGTTCTCAAATCCTCCATTCACCAAATGATGACACTAGGCACAGATGGTACAATGTTAGCTAATGATAGAGAACTGCTGGTGAAATCTTATTTTGCCTTTATTCTTCATGTTATGCAACCTACACAGACTCTGCAATCTTAAAACAGAAAAAAGGCTGAGAAAATTTAATGCAAATTATATCTACTTAAAAAGACAGTTTTTAGTTGCTTTATATGAAACCGAGTTCCATTAAGTTATATCCTAGAGTTCTGAAAGGATTTGGTGAAATAACTCATGACCTTGGATTTCAAATCTTTTGAGTCAAGATGATTTGGTTGATGTACTATAGACAGATACAAGCCTCTCAAGGACAAGAACTTGTTAATATTGTTCCCTGATTTATCCAGCTTCAAGCACAGTACCTAACATACATTAATGGCTTGACGAATGCCCCTGACAAAATTCCAAAATCTGTTTTGTTTTGTTTTTAAGTTTGTGGACACATGAAAAAGGAAGCAGTGATCACTAGGAGGCAGCATTAATTCATGAAGACCATCCCAACTATGCCTGTGTCACCTGATTTCCCCACTATAGAGGAGGAAGATCACATCAACGCATTTGACTAAATTTCACATGAATAATCCTTGTAAACAAGATGAGAATATGAACTAAATATCTTGCAATTAAATGAATTTGTAGTTGGATGAATGAAAACACTACACTATTTCATGAACCAGTGTCAATCTGGACGGAGAGAGCTCTGCCTTGTAACATTTTTTCAGTCTTACATGTAAACAGTAATTTTTATCCATTTGCCCATGACTTAAAAACTGCAAACAACCCAAGTTTTTTAATTTTATTTGTTTATTTATTTATTTGTTTTATTTTATTTTTAGGGGAGGCAACCCTTGGTTGACCTCACAGATTGCAAGGACCTTGTCATTTTATAATCCTGTTTTTTTGTTTGTTTGTTTTTTTATGCCTACAGCACCTGGTCTTTCTAGGTAGTCTCCCATCCCAATACTAACCAGGCCCGACCCTGTTTAGCTTCCGACATCAGACGGGACCGGTCTTGTTCAGGGTGGCATGGCTGTAGATCTAAATTTTTTAAAGAGCCCCAAATTAGTAAAATAAAATATAAAATTAGTAGAAGTAAATTTATAAAATGAGGTATATAACTACGCAAGTTTGGAATGAGAGGTCCCGTTTTTAACATAAAAGACTGAGTTTTCATTTTATAACTCGAGTCAAGAGTATATGATTGCCATAAACGAATTTAATCTCTTACTATATATTTGTTAAAATTTTCATTTTATTATACATATCTTCCACTTAACCTGAAATCCTCATAATTTATATATTCCAGTCTCTTATAGAGAGGACAGCCAAGTGAGACTGAAAAACTAAGGTAACAAGACCCATGTTTATAATTTTTTTACATTGATTTTCGAATACCTAGAGTAATAGCTGTTTATTATTATATCCCCCAAATCAAATCATACCAAGTTTTAAATGTGGTCAAATTTCATTTGTAACAACCTTGTAAGACAGGTATTATTATCACTGCCTTAAAGGTAAGGATTATGAGGCATAATTAGGGATTCATCCAGGCATATAACAAACACCAGCTCTTTTAATAATTTCACCACAATTTCTTTACTTAGCTATTTACCAAGTATTCCTGTTTGCCCCATTCCAGATCTACTGAAACACAATAATGAGAGTAGGGCCCAAAAATATTTAAAGTATTGCAGGTAATTATACTAAAATTGGCCCACAGTGGAGCTTTGGGAACTGCCTTAAATCATCTAAGTATTTCTTTCCATCAGGCTTCTGACAGATACTTGACAGCAGAGATTTAGAGATTATGCTTTCTGCTGATTGGCAGTATTATGTAAGGAGTACAAAGCCCTGGTCGAATTGGAGCCCTGTTACTCACAAGTGTGATCTCTTTTAAGGCACAGAACTCTGTTGACCCTCAATTTTCACATACATAAATTGGCAACTTAAAAGCACTTAGCCTCATGCCTGGCACCTGGTATGCACTCAGTAAACATGACCTGCTAATTTTGAAGGTGAAATCCAGAATATACTATGCTACCAGTTAAGGACTGCTTTATAACTCTGGCTACTACACAAGTAGGTTCCCATGCCATTATGAAAGGACTATACACATTCTTGTCTCCATGGGGAACGCTTTGTGTTCCATGTCTGAGAAAAATGTTGACATAAGCTATATTTTCAGTAGTATTAACTACTACTGAAAAGTTTTCATCATACTTGTATCTTACATGAGGTTAAAATTTCAAATTTTATAAAGGAGTTAATACAGGATATTTAAGCAAATATTAATATTTATCTTTAATATCTTATTCTTCTGGCATCAAGATTTGTAATATTTAAGCCTAAATTGTCAGCATGTAAGGCAATATAACTTATCAAAGTGCTCTAACCTAAAAGCAATGTTTTAAAATACTATATTAGATGGTATCTTTTCAGTTAAAAAGAAATTGTCCTTTTTTGCAGTTAATTGCCTTTACAAAACTTAAGTGAAAATGTTTTGCCAAGAAAACGTTATTTCTTTGATTCATTATAAAGCTGGGCTCAGATAGTATGAGACACAAAGAACGAAGATAATTATAGGTTAAAAGTGATTTGAGCCTCTTTATAAATAAGAAACTGATTCCAAAATAAGTCTCATTAAATAATATAGAAAACTTGACACTGCATATTAATCATGTTACCACTCACAGTTGTGATTTCCTTACAGTGCTCTTGCAAAGAAATCCAACTTGAATTAGTTGAGCATAAAAAACTTCCATGTGGAACCAGGAATAAAGAATTGCATGTACCATTTGGTGTAGTTTCATTAACTTCCCCTACCAACCATTAATAAATATGACCAATTCACATTTCGAGAATGATTTTTCTGACATCAAGAAAATACATCTTTATAAGGAGTTCTAGATTTCAAAAGACTACATCATATTAGAAACTCATTACTGTGAGGAAGGGCGACTATGTTTACTGGTTTATATGTAATTTGTGTCGATATGTCAAGTATGTTGGAGAAAGATCTGACTCTGGACTTTATTTGTACTATTAGAATACAGTTAGTTCACTTAGCAATTGAGTGGTCTTTATTCCTTACTTGATTTTTGAAATTAGTTTACCAATTTAAAATACCTTTATTAAAATAGTCCCTGATTAAACTTGCCTGTTCGTTTTACCCATTTTGCATTATTTTCATTTGATTGCAAAACCGATTATAAAATCTTATATTACAAAAGCCACATATCGGTGAATAGCCAATACTAGCTAATCTTCCTCTAAGCCTCCCAGACAGCCCTGAATATCAGAACATTGACCGAATTATTCTGGAAAATGGTGCTTGATGACCAATGAAGAAAACCTATCTTAATGGTTCTCTCCTTGACAAGTCTTGTTTCTGTGAAATAGTGAAGATATCTTCTCTGAAAATGTTTTGTGTACCAAAATCTATGATGTCTAATAGTTTTAATTGAAAAATACAAATTAAATCCACCTCTAGGCTCTGAAAGAATCCATTCTAGAAGTCTTTCTCATAATTTATACAATTTAGCTGCCACTCTTCGTATTTAATTCAATGGTCAGCAAACTATGGCCTGCAGTGGAATCCAGCCTATACCTTTTATTGCAAATGCAGTTTTATTGGGACAGCCATGGCCATTCATTTATGTATAATCTATGGCTGTTTTCATGCTGCCACATAGCTGAGACACAGACCATATGGCCCTCAGAGTTTAAAATATTTACTATGCATCTTTACAGGAAAAGCTTGCCAATACCTATTTTAAACACTTTCATTAAAAAGAAAAAAATTACTTGTTTGAATTATAAGGATACAAATATTTTTCCATTTTCTTCTTATCACAAAGATACACTTTGGCCTACATATGAGTCGCTAAGATTTTTTGACTACCCTGGATATCTGAACACTACTTATAACATTGTTTCTATGGATTTTTTGAAAAGTATAATCAACCAATTTTAAGAAAGTTTTAGAAACAGCCTATTTGTAGATGAGGGATATTATCTACTTAATTGATTCCCCCAAATAATCAAAGAATAGGCCTGAAATGCTCTGAGAAACCTATTTACTTCTTTCGAAACCAGGTTTATGTAACCAGTGAGTCATAGAAAGTTGTTGACAATAATAGCAAGCATTGCCTCAAAACAAACATAAGGTTTATTAATTCACATTTAAAATAACAAAAATACTCCTCTAATACTAGTAATTCCACAATTCCTAAAATTAAGAGTTAAAATGGCTCTTAAGACTTATGGAATTAATTTTTTCAGATAATATACAACTTTGTAATTTTCTTTTTCTCAACCAAACACATTTTACCCACACTTCTAAACTGTTAGGGAGCAACCTTAGGCTGTGATGCTCTTAAAAAACAGATCAAAGCAACACATGTACCCTGCATGTGGTATTTATATGTTTGACTTATATAGCCCACAAACTTCTCTTTTCAAATAGTTTTCATAAATATTAAAATATCAGAATTTTTTTCTAAAAGTTCTCAAAATAATCACTAGATATTCGTATTATTTAATTAAAAAAACGAGCTACCAAACCTATAATTTAGGCAAAAATTGTTTATTCAAGAGTGTAAAAATATTTTAATTTACATACCATATTACAATGAATCAATATGGAGTCAAAACTGCACAATTACACATTCATTAAAATTCCACACATCATCCTCAGAATAATCAGTCTCTGTACAAAGATTTACAGATGTCCAATGCATGCAAATCTTCCTCAGTGCGCTACTGAATTTAGAGGTTCTGCTCGAATATTTCCCAAATCAAGTGCAGAATCTGTTTCTTCATCAATTTCTCCAATGACTGCACTGCAATTATGTGAGGGCAAAAAAATGTTAAAACAATCTCATTTCTGACTAAAACTGAGAGAACAAAGTAAAAAGAACTACTTAAGGTGAAAACCGAACTTTTTCATGAGGTAGTGAATTGAGCATTTAAGCCAAAAAACTCAAGAAATATTATGAAGGCAACATTATTACAGGGATCAATATTAAAAGACAGAATTCATATAGTGTGATTGGATCATGAGTCTGTGAAGGAAAAAGACACAAATGGGATAGATATGGTATGAAAACCCAAAACTTTCAATCCTATGATTTCAACTCCAGGGACTATATCGGGGGGACAGAGGAGGGAGGTTCAGCAAATAAAAGTGTCTGTTAAGAAACTTAAATGAACTAAATCCATCAATGGTATATAACATCTATAAATATCCTTTTCATGATTTCTTGGTTTACTCAATTTGAAGACCAAAAATTACAGTTGATTATATACAAAAATAATATAATAGCAACAGGTAATTAGGTATCTAACAAATGATTTTTTGATGTGATTGGCTTGAGTTAAAGCCAGTAAACTTTTCCTTGATTTAATACAAACATAATTTCTATATTATTAATTTCACTAATACCATGCTAGGTAACCAAGCCATGGCTCTCTGGCTGGATATAGTCTTTGTTACATCCAGACCACAGGGCATGTATGAAACATTATCCCACAAAAAAATGGTTTTTTAAATATGTTTGGTTTTAATAGAGTATTCTGTAGATGGATATTTTGAATACAGAACTTGCCCAATTTTGCTTTAAATTACATAAAGCCTTTAGTTCTCTAATAATGGAAAGTACCAAACTGGGAGAATATATTAAGTTTTCTCAGTAGAAAACTTAAGAGTGCAAAGATCTTAACTGCTCTCTTAAAAACTTAGTATCATTTGAAATCCTTATAGAAAACAGTAGAGTGCTGGTAAATGTTTTAAAACTAGCTCTTCAAAGAAAAATGGGGAGACTGGTCTGCAGTGTTTACCGACACCCATAGAGCAAATACTATCACTATGGCCAACTTCAAGCTACCAAAGAAATATCAATCAATCAGCTCGCAAAATTCCTGAAAATATAACAATCTCCTTTCGTAAGCCAGTACAAGCTGGCTTTAGCACAACCCTGGGTCTACAGCAAAGTTTTAAATTTTTTAAAATTAAAATTTAAAATTATGTTGTTTAACTTAAAGCAGGAGAAAATGTCTTAAAATAACTATTATGCAGAGCTCCAATATAAAGAATCAGTATTGTTCTGGTCAGGAAACCTGGGCCCCACCTGCTCTGCCTTCCTCTTATTCTTTATAGCCCATTTTATAACTTCACACCTAAAAGTCTTCTCTAGAGAATATTTTACAAAACCTTTTTATTAAAGATGAAATTTCTCCATCTAAAGATGATTTTTAAGATAAATAATTCAAATGAATAGTATTCCTTTATCTTCTATATCCTACCTGGCCCCCAAAGTAATGAGATGCTAATGTATTTTTTGCTGCCTTCCAGCCATGTTTTAATTCTATTCAGTTCTCACTAGAAAATTGATTGAACAATCTTCTAACTGCTATAATGGCACTGTTTATTATAGTAGCTCCTGGCCATATGTAACTATTAAAATTACAATTAAATAAAATTTAAAATTCAGTTCATACCAGGCACTTACCAAGTCCTCCATAGCCATACATAGCTATTCCATAGTGTTTAATGCAGATAACATAACATTTCTACCATCCCAAAAAGTTCTATTGAACAGTTGCTCTACATGGTTGCAGCCATTTTTTAAATTGCTACCACTAAAATATATCTTCTCAAACTGCCATATCAGTGTCACAAGTTAGCTGAGGCCACAGAATAAACAAAGGACATATTAAGTATGCCAATTATACTACAAAAGGAGAAAAAAAAAATAATGGATAAGTACTTATTTGTAAATTGAGCTATATTATAGAGATTTCAAACCCTAGCTTTGGTACAAGTAAATTTATATTCCTCTGAAATTAGGAGTGTTATAGAAGAACACTCTAAGAAGCCTCTCTAATAGTGTTCAGTATAAGGCAGGGCCCTTTCTGGACCCTATCCAGGCCACTTAACTATTTGAAACATAGGCAAATCTCAGTAAATAAAAACCTCTTCTCCATATAGCAAAGCAGTACACCTATAGTATATGTAACCTGCATTAAAAAAGACATTTTACTTACACATTGTCTCCTCTTACGATGTATAACCCTAGTACCACTTGTTCTACTCCCTGTGAAGAGCTGAAAACTCGCTCATGGCTCTCATCCAAAATCAAATTAATGGTCTGGTCAAAACCTTTTAGTGTTCCCTATAAAAAAAAAAAAAAAAAAAATCAAGAGAAAAAGACAAATATTCTGGTTTACCTGAATGTGTAAATTCAACCACACAATTTTCATTGCTGGGTACTCCAACAGAAGTACCTTTTTTACATATAAGTCTACTGTAAAACAGAATACCTCTTTATAACCAACAGTATTCTTGGGCACAAAACTTACCTCTTGATTTTTTTAAGGGGTAAAACAATTACACCACACATCTGACTAGTGTGCAGAGTTGTTGAGTTAAAAAGTACATCTATGTACCAGTGTATTTCCAAGAAAGTAACATAAAAGCCCATATAGTCCAGTCTAGGAGCTAACGTTCTAAAGACACAAATAAAACAAGTAAAATTTAAGGAAAAACTATACATATATATGTGTATACACACACACACACACACACACACACACACACACATATATTACATAATATGCATATATATGAATGTACGTATTTATATGGAACCATACATATTAGCTATAGCAATGTTTAACAGTATCACTCCATGCTACATACTAGTACAAGGCCCTGTGCTTAACAAACTGCACACATTATCTCAATAATGTGTAGATATAATTCCACTTCAGAGAAGAAAAATCGAGGCACAGAGATTAAGTAATCTCTCAAGGTTCATAGGTAGAAAGTAGTAGAGTTAGAGCTGGGATCTAAACCCTAAAAAGACAGCTTCAGAGCTGGACCACTGTATGACTATAATATACTAATATGAACAAGAAAATATAATTTATCATTTTTCAGAGATTCCAATTAGTACAATATATATATACAAACTTCAATTGGTATTAATAGCTAATAATGAGTACTTTCTATTTGCCAGAAAGTGTTCTATGGGCCTCTCATGTATTTACTTATTTAGTCCTTCCAATAATGCAATCAGCTAGATATAATAATTAGATAATAATAATCAGAACCAGAACTTGAAGGAAATATTCAGATAAAATTTTATCGAAGAATCCTAATTTTGAATAAAGAAATACATGGGCCTAGTGTAACCTGTCTCAAATGCTATTCAAGTTTCTGAAGAAACATCATTTACGGTTTTTTGGTTGGTTAAATCTCTCAAGCTCACTATCAAACTGTTTGTTTTAAAAATTAAGATATATAAAATTAGAATGAAATAACGAAAAAACAATAACCTAGAATTAGGAAGAGAATCAAAATACAGCGTATGTACTATACTAAACTAGATAGCAAATAGCTATCACACCCATACATAGCCTCTTGACTTTATTTTACACATATTCTATCAAATGATCCATGTGTCAAAGAAATACAGAACTACCGAACTTTAATATTCAAAAAAAAATATTTTTTTTAATCTCCCCTCCCCGCCACCACCACTACCACCCCTGACCTATGGATGTTGCCTTCTCCCCTTAAAAACTAGATCTCTGAAGGTGGGGCATCTCCTCCCACCCGCTCGCGGCACACACCCGGGGCCTGGCGCACCAGGGGTATGGGCTGTGGCTCCACTAGGGCTCAAATCCAGGACCTACTGCGTGTAAAGCAGATGTGCTAACCACTACTCTATGGAACCACCCCCTAAAAATGCTTTTTAAATAACTTTCTTCTTCTATAAAATGAAAATAATTTTCTAATTTATTATCTACTCTTTGTTAAAAGTAGAAAAAAATTTAAACTTGTTTTCACAAAATAAAAAAATACTTGCAAATATTTAACAGCAATAGGCTTCCTGAAGGGTTGAGATTAAAATATTTTGAACTGTCCTTATTTGACAAAATATAAAAAATGCCTAAAAGAAAACATGATTGTTCTCTTGAGTAAGAAGGAAGCAAGGCAAATGGCTTTAGCTTTGGAGTCAAAACCAATTTAAATCCCAGTATGGTTCTGCCACTTATTATCATGTGAGTTTGGAAAAATGACCCATTTTCTGAGCTTTGTTCCTTACCCAGAATACAGAAGCAATTATTCTTCAGAGATATACTGAAGAGTAAGTGATAATAATACATGTAAAATGCCTGGTACATAATATAATTTAATAAATGGCAAAGTCTAACGCTTTGGTCATAAATTCACTTAAGGACCAAGAAAAATCACAAGGATTGAATAGAAAACAAAGAAACAAAAACAGAACTGCAGAATGGGAAAATAAAATATTAAATTATATGAATTAGATAATTAGAAAACAGAGAAAATTTAGCTGCCTTAAAATTTTTTTTTTGGAAAGCAAACAGCCATATGAATTAGAAATAAAGAAACAGCTAAGTAACTAAAAATCATAGGATAAATTCCTCTGATCAAGAAACAGGTCAAGAAAAGAATCCAAGATTTTTCTGGAATTAAAATAGATACTGTGATAAAAGGACAAATGAGATGAAATAAATTTCGGGTTCATCATCATTTGTCCTACAGAAGTCATACAACCTAAGAATAGTCAAAGAATATTAATACAAGCCATAAATGTTCATTAGTCTATATATGTAGTATCTAAATCATAAAAAAGTTTCTAAGAAGCACATACAAAATTTCAAAGAAAATTATGATTTATGTAGTGACTATCAGAGCACTAAATGAGGAAGGAAATAAAAAATGGAATCGGAAGATAAATATAAATACAGCCAGATATCTGAAGACTAGACGCTCTCTGAGGGAAGACTCTATTATTATATTTAAACTAGCTCTGAAAACCATGTAACTTACCCTCTAACATTTATTAATACAGAAAATATGGATCAGCAGCTATTTATCACAGATAAGAGCTGAATCATAAGAAAACTATAATGTAGGCATACTGCAGTGCCTACCCATTAGAGATCTGAGGTTCTACATTAAAATTTATAACCTATAAGCCTCCAAGAAAACAGAAAATGAGTATGTCAAATACTTACCACAATCATTCTCCCGTCAGAAGTAATAACAGCGACAGTTCCTGATAATTGAATCAAGGAAAGCAATTCATGGTAAGGAAGTGGTTTGAATTACTAGGGAAAAGATGATAGAATTAAGATACATTTAACACAGCCACTACATTCACAAAACAAAAATTTTAAGTGTCGAACTTCTTCAATCCCTTATGATAATTACACAATTAGGAACGGAAAAAATAGAAAAAGAAATTTTTTTTCTGTATGCGACCAGTATAACATGTCTTAAAACAGCTGGGCTGTCTGGTACTCTTTTTACTGAAGACTATTGTCACCCTTGACTTTGAGCAAGACATTTCCCCCTTTCTTAGACTTATCTATCTCTAAAACAAAAATGGATTACTGCTGAATTAATCAATGTTGAGTGACTTCAAGCTTAAGACATTGTCTTCCAGGACATGGCTTCTGGAACTCATAACTATAATCAGTGTATCATTAAGTCTGTAGTATTTCACTTTTGCCCCGAATTTGTATGTGAGCACAATGTAGTGTTTCCGCCCTGAGACTTTAAAACGTTAACAAATGTAGAGTGCTTTAAGATTCACATAGGCGTTTTAAAATTATTTGCCTCGTGACGATCCATTACAACAGCAATTATTATTTTCATTTTATCAACAGAGAAGTTGAGCCCAAGTGGTAAAGGGTCAGAAATTCATTTTGTGCACCACCCTTAGTTTTTGCTATCCTCGAACAATGAGCAAAACCTAAGAATAAAACAAGTACATGGATTAGACCACAGTTGCCGCTGGGATTGTTCATTTTATTCCCAAACTTCAACGCACAGGCCCTCCGACAGTACTAAGGATGAATACCTGATTTCTACAGAAACCGGGAAAAGTTCAGAATAAGAACCTTTTTAAAACTTAAAATTAAAAGGCGCCTGGGCCTGTAGGAGAGCGCCGGTTCCAGCCCCGGGACCAGGATTGGCAGGTCCCGGATCCTTAACCTCCACATCCCCGCCACGTAGCGGCGAGGAGTCCCAACCGCCCGCCGATCCCAACCCGGCCCTCTCCAGTGTGGACGTGGGCCTCGCCCTGGCTCCGGCTAGCGCCGGCGGCGGCCACCAGAGGATACGATTGATGTAATTCTCCAAAGCGGACGTCATGATGCTCGGCCCGGACACTCCGGGAAACACAACAGCGTACGCTACAAATGGAGTTAAAAAAAGAAAGAAAAAAAAACGCCCGCCAGCAACTCACGGCGACTCTAGCCGATTGGCTGCAGCAAATATCGCGAGAATTACAGCGCCATAGCTTCCGTGGGTTGGGGATGAAAAGAAACAGCCAACCATACCCGTGAGGCCAAGCGGTGACGAGTTTATTGCGCGTGCGCAGTATGTTTCCGCGGATTTTCCCGGCGGTAATGTGGGAAGCCGAAAGAGACCAAAGCGAGCGGGAGGCAGAATGGAGAAAGGTTTCTGAAGGTGGGGTAGTGTGAAAAGATGGGAGAACGAGATTCTTAGCGGAGTCAAAGGCAATGGATAGAAGTTATTAGGGGAAAACGTTGAGGAAAGTTAGGGGAAACGGAATAAGGTTTTCGTCACGAGTGAAGTAGAGATGAATGCGTTCTATGAAATGTAGGTGTGGGGAAGTGGAATCCCTAGTTTTTGACCACAGGGGCCGAAAATTAATCTTTCAGAAGCTGAATGGCCTAGGGCAAAGTCGTGCATGTTGTGATCATACGGTATAAGTCTCTGGAGAACACACCAATAAAGCATGTTCGCACAATCTGCATTTGTCTCTTAAAGTGTTCTAAGATGGTATTCACTTATGTAAGAAACAATCCAAACAGGGAAAGGTGTGTGAGCGTCAGAAAGCAGTCTTAATTTTACCGCCACAAGGTCTCCCTGTCCTTAGGATTAAGTTAGTAAAAGGTCTGGTGCACAGCCCTGGAAATGATTAAGGAAAAGTCTAGATAAGCACCAGGCTGGGCTCTAGTCTTGGCTCTCCTAAGAATTGTGTGGGTGTTCTTGAACTAGTATCATCAACACATCTGGGCCTCAGTTTCCTTAAATGCTGTCACAGCTATCATTTCGGGTATTTCCAAATGTTACTAGAAACGTAACTTTATTTTACTGTTGTGCTGTAACTTCAAAAGTTAAAAAAGCATCTATATACGAAATACCAGCGAGAGCTATTTCTTTTTTTTGTTCTCCAAAATCTCTTATTTGTCAGGCTTGTGATTTCTTAACTGAAGAATTGTGTGTTTGAAATAACATTCATGTCAGCAGTTTTCTTCCTAAAAGTTAAGCATATGTTTTTGTTACAACATTCCCACAAAACTCTACATACAGATTACTCCTAAATGTTAATATTTTATAGACTGAAACTTACTCTGACCTATTTGCAACTACATATAATCAAGAATGAGGTTGTGAGTAACCCTGTATTTTATGAAAGTTTATGGGAAAAACAATTGTACTGTACCTAGGAGATTTGCGGCATATTTGACTAAAAAACTTAAATACTATTGTTTGTAACCATCTTTCTCTGTGGCACAAAGTTCTTCTAAATTCTGAACTTCCTAGAATTTCCTCTGTGGAATTAAGGAAAACATGAGTTTCTTCAACCCAAATTACTGTTTACTTCATGCGTATGTTTCTTACTCATTATACTGTCCTCATCATAAGGTGAAGGCCTCACTGTCAGGGTGAGGAGGAGTGGTACATGTTTAACCGTTACTGAAATCTTAAGTCTTGATCAAGCATTCACTGGGTTCTCAGCCTCCATCTGACCAATGAACATGTTCCATGGTTCTGCTCCTGTCTTCTCTGGGTTTTGTTTTGTACAAAGTCATTTGTTAGTAAATGACAGAGCCAGTCTGAACCTAGACAGTTAAGCTCCACTGCATTATTGTTACTCAAGGGAAATGCCCAATAGAGTGAAGAAGACCATCATGTAAACAAAGGTCATTTAAGGTCATTCAGATGTGGACATTTGGGGTTCTTCCTTCAGAGTCCTTCTTAGGTAGTTACAAAGGGGCAAAATTAAACACTTGTCTGCCCGTGGTGCATTTATTCCATTTTTCTTCAATATTAGGCATCTGCGATGTTAATATTAAACTTCTGTAGCAGGGTTTGGCAAACTATAACCCTTAGGCTAATTTTTTTAAAAATAAATTTTATTAGAACACAGCCACACTTATTAATTTATATGTTATTTATGGCTGCTATTAGGTGACAATAGAAGAGTTGAGTAGTTGTGTCTGAGTTCATATGGCCCACAAAGCCCTAAAATATTTACTCTCTGGCTCTTTACAGAAAGTTTGCAGACTTTTGTTCTCTAATGTCAACAAATGAGATTTTTAAAGCTCTAAAAAGATGCAAAACTCACTTTCCCACCAGGAAGGTGAGATAATCCATCATCTCAGCCTCAGGTATTACTATAATGCCCCTTTTGACCAGCTTTGAAATATGATTGGGGTCCATTTTTCTGAACTTAACAAGTTGCACCATGAATAACAACAACAAAACCCGTCAGATTAGACTTCCTTCCGAAGAATGTGTTATTTCCTCCCTCTCTCCCTTTCTATTGGAATTTCAGTCTAGAACTGCTGGAACTTATCCCAAGTCATTGCCCCATGTGATAATAACTCATGTAATAGGATTTTTCATGCATAAAGATAATGACAGAAAATAAAGAATGATCTGAATTTTAACATATGCATCAATAACTAAATTAAAAACCACAGATGTGTCATAATAATGCAGTGGATTAAAAGAAATTCTTAGCAGAGAGTTTTTTGGAAACGAAAAGTGGTAATTCAAATTAAAGACAACTTTACCAGGGATATTAATCATTGTTTTCAATTGTTCAACATCAGAACTCTTTATTTCTTGAGAAGCCCCAACTTTATGAGTTTAAGTGGGAGTGGTGTCAGCATAGGTACTCTATCCTGGTCTTTCTTGCAGCTAGAGTGGTCTAGGCTCTACTTATGACTCTCCCAGACTTAATTGGGTGCTACAGAGAACACAGTCCGTGGGTCAGAACAGTTGTAGCAAGAGCAAGTTCATAATGGAGCCATGCCACTGATGCTACTGGTGACATCCAGGGCATATGGGCTTGCCAGAAGTATTGGGGCCTGCAAGCTTCAGCCTGTATTGTTTAGCAATGACGTCCACAGGAACCCGGCTTTGCTGTGTGTCTGGGACATGCTACATGGCTGTATAACTTCTGAGTCTTATTCCCCAGCCTGTCCTGTAATTATGTAAGCTACTCAGTATGCTTTAATACAGTTCTTTCCTGCTTAAATCATCTCAAGTTGAATTTTGGTTTCAAGCTGGCAACTAAGAATTTTGACTGAGAAATGTTCTGGAAATGCAATGTTAGCAATGCGCTGCAGTGATCTTAAAACATTTTTTGCTCATTTATCTTATACTTTTTTTAAACTAAAAAAAGTTTTAACTAAAACCTCTTTTTGCAAGCCTACTTTAAAATTCTAAATTTTTTATCATAAGTTTATTACAATGAATGTAATTTCTGTCACATAGTATTTTATGTGCTTTAAATATATTTTCATTAAAACTCTGGAGCTGCAGATTTAACACATTATGGCAAAACCCATACCCGTTATCAAACCCATCAGCTGATTTTATTTTTCCATGTAAATAAATGTGTTACCATGCATTCTGTGAGAACCATTGTAATGTCAATCTACTGTGAGCCCTGAGCTTCCCTGTACATCCTTTCTGGGTACACTTCAAATGCAAAGTCTTGATCACTCTACTTTGGCCAATTTTATGTCCCCTCTAGCTCAATTTCTAGGTAATTAAGTATATAATAATATACATTTTCCAGTTCTCTCAAAACTATTTCAGTATGCTTCAGTGACTTTTGGTTATATGCATCTCTGTGTTTAAGGACTTTTTCTGGAATCCTGCCTGTCTATGTGTGGCAGGCCGGAAATGCTGGGGAATTAGCACCCACAGGGAGCAGTCATCCATGGCTGACAAGGTAGATTTTTAAATACCTCAGCCCTCCCTCATTCAGGTAGGATAATTCAGATGGGATATCTCCAGTCATCTGACATAGTAGCTGACTTAATAGTGCACTTCTCATTGGCTGCCTTCCTTTCCTCGTAGCACTTCTCCACTCCCTTATTGATTTTCCCTAAATAAACTACTTATACTTGAAATCTTGCCTCAGGGTCTTTTTTGGAGGAGACACAAACTAAGATAAAAACCACGAATAATTCTTTTCCTTCCAAAGGAATTTGTATCTTACTTGAGTTTGAGGACATCCCTAGCCTAACCCCAGTCCTTGTCATCTGATACTACCAGATCATCTTTTACTGGATCATCCATGATGCAAAGAATGGTACGGGACTTCTGCCACCCTCCACAGATCTATGCAGGCCTCTTTAAATATCCCTGGGTAAGCATTTGCTGCTGCCACCAAAGTTGGTTTACACAAAAACAAAATACCAGTCTATAGTAAACTGTAACTTGGTTGTTGCACTAAAACTTCAGTTAGGCTCAATGATGTAGCAAGATGAAGCGCAGAAATTGCCAGTTATCTGACACAGCAAGAAGTTATTTAATGGAGTTAGGGCAGACTACTGACTGCTGGATGTCACTCATTAAGTCCGAAACGATGTAAATGGCAGAAAGTGACCCCATAGTTCAGAGCCATTCTAACCCACTGATTTCTCTCTCTGGGAGGACGAGGTCATCCAACTCTGGGTGTGCCTCCCGGTTAGTCTATGTCCAAATCTCATGTATATCCTTTGCCTTGCTTGTTTACTGTTTCAAAAGCAAGCAAAAGTGAAAGCACCGTTAGGTGAGTCTGAATTACCATTCTGACCCATTCCCAAACTAGCCAGCCTGTGGGCTGGCCATTGGTAAGTGCCAGCAGTAAACTTATGCATCCCCTAAACATATTGGGCTCTTCAGATAAACGTTTGACAAGTCTGAGCTCACCTTACTCCCCAACACTACAGTGATCTAGTGGCATTTAGAAGTCTGGGCCCAAGTCAGCTTGGTGATTGGGGTGGTGGAAATGAAGGCTTTGAGGTGCCCAGGCCCTTTTCTTGGAGTAACTGGCCACGGGGTGGTGAACCTGCAAGGTTCTGGAGCCTACAGAATAAGTCACTCATTGGAAATGTCAACATTTCCAATATCAGTGGCAGTCAAATACTCAAGCAAACTCCTTCTCCAATCTTCCTCAAATCATGGTGGAATGGTAGTGGCTTACTCCAAGTTTTTGTGAGACTGTCCCTATCATATTCCCCCTT